AGGGGTAGGTTTAGGGGTAGGGTTGGTGTAGGGCAATAGCACATACAGTTTGAACAGTATAAAAACCATTACGCCTATGGAGAGTCCCCATAAACCATAAAAACAAACCTGTGTGTGTGTGTGTGTGTGCGTGTGTGTGTGTGTGAATAGATGTTGGATAGACACGTATGCTTCCATGGCGATGTTAATAGTCACGTATAATATCTCATAACAATCACAACACGCTTCTGTGTGTCACTGTCTCTATTAAATTCAACATGAAATTCCTCTGTTTTCTAAATGCATGTTACTGATCATATTATGAACGATTCATCCATGCATATATTTGTAATTTTAGACCTCGTAATGTTAAATGTCAAAACTGAATCCTCCAGTGAAAGGACAGACTGCAAGGACTGAACAGACCGCAAGGACTGTTTGCTTGGGCTGAACACATGGCTACAAAGAATCTGCAGCTTAAAAGGAGTCAATTTCATCGACAACTTCAATCTTTTCTGCGGCCATAGACAACTGTTTAAACCGGATGGCCTCCACACAAACAAACTTGGTGCAAGAGTGCTAAAGGACAACATCTACTTCTCCCTCCGTCATCCTTCAGTAGTGTGTGCCAAACTACTCAACCTGAATGGCACACACACACCTGGACAGAGTATGAGTGATGACAGAACTTCATATCAGCTTCCGTCATCATGTGGTTGACACATCCCACAAGGACACTGATAACACCACGCAGCCACAACAAGCACTGCTCATGGACACCATCACGGCTGAGCCCTGCCCACAGACCTCACCACAGACAGACTGTGACGTATCAGAACAGCTCCAAGACTCAGCACCCAAGGACGACTTTCTGGAAAACAGCCAGGGAAGCCAGGACAACATATCACAGCCACCAGAAACAACAGAGCCAGAGCCCCGCTCACCAGACACATTATTCCTCTCTCCAACATCTCCACTTCTAAGCTTCTCACAGAAAATGGAGGAACTGGTTTATGCTGGGACCAGACTCTCCCACTCTTTTGCTGCAAGCCCCCAGTTATCAACCAAAAAACGGCGTGCCCCCCAACCACCAAAGCCTGTGGGCCCAGCTCGTCTTCCTCCTCCTGTGAGAGCTCTCCGGCCGCTGCCACAACGCCAGGGCCCAAACCCTCCATCTGCTGTAGGTGAACCAAAAACAACTGATAGCAGCTCTTAGTGATATGTGTCATTGTTATGTTTTCACTATCATAACGTGTAGAATACACTCTTGAATGCACTACGATAAATAACACAGCCACACGA